GGGGGAGGTGGGCAGAACAGAGGACGCCTGTCCTCTGGGCGAGGGGGCCTCTGGAGAGCAGTTTCCTGTGTGGTTCCAGGCTGGGGGCCCAGCCCACCTCCTGACAGGGGAGGCTTTCACAGGCCTGGGCTCTCAGGATGGGGGAGGGCAGGGCATGGAGGCCACTCAGGTGAGGGCTGCCCCGAGTCCGTGTGTGGCAAAGCGGTGGAGGGGCAAATGCAGGCTTGCCCAAGTCAGACCAGCCTTGGAAACATCAGTTCCCGCCACCTCCCATTTTGCAAATGAGAGAACCAAGGTCCAGAGATGAGAAGGGAGGTGTCTGAGACCACCAAGGGCAGTGGCAGAGCTAGAACTCAGGGCTCCTGCCTGCCACCCCAACCATGGGCGAGGGGCAGGTGTTTGTGTGAGTGTCAGTGTGTGTGCGTGTGTGCATGAGTGTTAACATGAGAACATGACAGTGGGCTTGCACATTGTGAATTTGGGAGTGCTGGTGTAGGGGGCCAGGGGTCATCAAGGCAGCTGTCTCTGGCCTTGTATTTGTGGGACCCTCTCGTGTGTCTCCTTAGGACCCCCCCTGGGGCATTACTACCCAATGCCACCTTCTGCCTCATCCCTGGCCGCAGTCCTGATGCCTGGCACTTCCTCCAAGCCCTACAGGTACCATCCCAACTTGGGCGTCCGCCATCCCTGTCCTGCCACACTCCTGAGTTGGCAGAGTAGTCTGGGCCCAGGCCAATGAGAAGGAGTGGTAACTCCTTTGCTTTGGGACTCAGGTGTGCCTACAGCCATATTCACTGCACCCTCTGCAGAACAACCCACTCCCAGCGAGCCCCCGCCAAAAATATCAACCACTTTTCTCTCCTCTTTACCCCTTGCCCCCAGTACAGTAGTTGCTGACTTGGAACAGGGAGGAGGGGGTGAGTGTGCAGCGGGACTGGGCTCCCCAGTGACCCCTCTACTCCCCAGGCTGGCTGCATCCCTGTGCTTCTCAGCCCTCACTGGGAGCTGCCCTTCTCCGAGGTCATCGATTGGACCAAGGCAGCCATTGTAGCTGACGAGAGGCTCCCACTTCAGGTAGCTCAGGGCCCGGCCCACGGGGTGGGGACTGAACTCAGGACATGGGAGGACCCTGGGATCCTGGTCCCCACGCTGGTGTCGGTCCTCATTCTTATCCCCCATTGATGTATATTGATGATTTTGTCCCCAGCCCCAAGCCTCTTGGGTTCTGAGAGCAAGTCCTGAGTCTTTCTTCAGCCTCAGTTTCCCCATCTGTGCAAAGGAGTAAATTAGACCAGATGATCTCCATCGGGCCCAGCCCCAACTTGTCCAGTTTAAGGGAAGGCCACAAAAAGTCCAAAATCTGAGTACCTCCATGGGGTGGGAAAGCAAAATGCACAGTGACTTATCCACCTGATGAAGCTAATTTTGCCCAGCTCTGAAAAACATATGTGTGAGCTGTGAATCCCCGAGAAGTGAGAATGGTGTAGGGAGTTAATAGCAATAGCTTCACTGAGCCTTTACATGCTAAGCACTGAATATGTATCATCTACTTTAATCCTCACAACCACCCTAGGAGGGGAGTACTATTATTGTCTCCACCTTACTGATGACGAAACAGACTCAGAGAGGTTAAGTAGCTTGTCCTCAGTCACACAGTAACTAAGTGGCATTTTAACCCAGCTCTCTGTGACCCTTAAACTCTTGATTGCTAAGTTACCTGGGACTTGGTCAAGGATGGCACTGCCAACCCACCTGGAGAATCGTGGGCAAGGAGTTTCTGGTTCCTAAGCTAGACTGTCCCCAACCCAGGGTGAGTCAGGACCTGACAGGGCCCTTGTGCCTTCTCCTTTTCTCCCTCTGTGCCCCAGGTCCTGACTGCCCTCCAGGAGATGCCCCTCACACGGGTCCTTGCCCTGCGTCAGCAGACCCAGTTTCTATGGGATGCCTACTTCTCCTCAGTGGAGAAGGTCATCCACACCACTCTGGAGGTGAGGGGTGACGGGGACTCACCTGATGGGGGCTCTGATGCTTGGCTCTGCCTCATCCCTGTCCCCTTTCCACGCCCCTCTCTCTGGACACCTCTGCCCTGGGATTTGGGCTTCCTCCTTGAAGATGCTTCTGGGATGAATATGAGACTTGGCCTGGAGCGCTTAGATGAGTTCCTTCTCCAGTCTTGGTGTCAGTTTCCCCATCGGTAGAGGGATATCTGTAGCAAATAGATTTCAAAGCATGTGCCAGCTGTAGTTGATGGGTCCTGGTTGCCTGGGGGAGTGTTGGGAGGGATTCTGGGTCAAGAGGAAATGTCAGGACCTGTTAGTGATGTCTGCCATGAGTGACAACACCATTACTGAGGGACCTCTACTCTGGACTCCCTGCACCTGAACCCTTCTGTCCCCAGCAATCTGGTGCTGCAGTTGCTGCCCCGGCCCAGACTTCTGAAGTGGGAGGTGTGTGGCTCCGACCCCGCCCATGGCCACACTGGCCACTCCTTCTGCACAGCTGTCTCTCATTTCACAGATAATTCAGGACCGGATCTTTGGAGCATCTGCTCGCCCCTCACTACTGTGGAACAGCCCTCCAGGGGCACTCCTGGCCCTGCCCACTTTTTCCACAAGCCCCGTGGACTTCCCCTTCTATCACCTGCAACAGGGTATGCCCTAGGGATGGGGGGATGGGACAGCTGGAAGTCCCCTCATCAACTCTCTCCACATCTGCCCCAGCCTCAACCATAGAGCCTCGCCAAGCCCCTCCTCAAATACCCAACATCTCTCCTGGGTCCCCAAGTCCCCAACTCAGGTCACTCTCCAGAGGATTCTGTCCCCTCCCACTCTAATAGCCTGTGTCTTATTTCCCAGGCTCCCGCCCTGTGGGCAGGTTCAGTGCTCTGATTTGGGTGGAGGCTCCAGGCCAGCTCCCTCTGAAGCTCATCCAGGTGGTGGCAGGCTCCCAGCACTGTGCCCAGGTCTGCCCCCTTGCCAGCTGAGGTGCGGGAATCCAGGGTGGGGGCAAGGGACAGGGCAGAGCCCTTGAAGACATCTAGATGCCAAGGATAACTACACATTTTGGGGGGAAGCATGGGAAGGATTTTCAAGTACCATTGCTGTCTTTTTCTTTAAATTCCAAGTTCCTTGTCCCATCCCCATTCCCTGTCCCTCATGGAAACTGATGAAACCACCCCCAAAACAGGTGCCTCTTGGGGAGGTTGAAGTAAACATACATGTGTTCATTTATTTATTCACCCAGCATCTGCTGAGCCCCCTGGGCTCAATGCTGAGGATGCAGAGAAAAAGTAGGAAAGGATTCTGCCCCAGATTCAGATTCAGTTAGCACTTCCTGGCACACACACTGTCAACTGTCACTTCCAGAGAAGCCAGACAGACTCCTGAGAGTACTTGCAAAGGAGGCAAGCAGTTAGCTCAGCCAGAGCGCAGATGGAGCAACTTCCAAGCTCACATATACAGATGCCCTACCAAACTTCTTCCACCCTGAGAAAGATTACTCCTGGGACCCCTTGCCTTCCTGCCCCAGTCTTCAGAAACACCTCTCTTTCCTTCTAGATCTTGGTTCTCTGGAGCTGTGAGAAGCCACCCCCACCCAGGTGGCCTGAGACAGCCGTGCCCCTGACAGTCATTGGTGGGCATAGGAAGGTGAGGGATGGGGAGGTGCATGGAAGGGTGGGCTCAGACCCAGAATGCTGGGATCTGGGGAAAAGGGCACACACGGATGTGTGATTAACTTGGACCTGAGCCAAAACTGGACTTCAAGTTGGGCCTGTGGATTTCAGCTGCAGGCCTAATAGAAATGATTCTCTTCCATCCCTGGTCCTTGCGAATTGTGCTTCCAGGGAACTGGGGTTTTATGTCATGAGGGAAGGCAAAGGGAGCACATTGCTGTCTCAGGTAAGGGATGGAAGAGAAACCTGAGATCTTGAGGAAATGCAGACAGGTGGTAGCACATCAGCCGGGGGAGGGGGGAGGTGAGGGAGTGCCTTCCGAGAACCTGGGTTGGTGCAACACACCTGCTTGCTGTGTAGTTCTGGGAAAAGACCCTTCATCTCTCTGGATCTGTTTCTTTTGAACAAAGGATGTCTGACAACCCTTTCCAAGGTTGAAGTGAGCATTAAATGTGACAATAGTGGAATCCTGAAATGTCAAAACTGAAAGGGCCCTAGACTCCAGTGGCCTCATTTGACCAAAGGTGGAAACTGAAGTCCAGCGAGATAAAATGAGTTCCTCAAGTTCGAGTTCCAGGCAGACTTGCTGTTTTCTCTGTTCTTCCTTTTACACTATGCCTGCAGGGGCTCCTGCTTAGCAGATACTCAGATATCACCGTGGGAGCCCAGGGAGGGTTCCCACGGTTGAGTTGCCCTCCCCTCCCTCCCGCTGCAGGCCAGTGACCGCTTCTTCCCGTACAGTGCCGTCAGCACCGATGCCATCCTCAGCCTAGATGCCCACAGCAGTCTTTCCACAAGTGAGGTGAGGGCTCCCAAGAGGAGCCCCATGGGGGTGGGGACAGAGCCAGAGGGCCCTGGCAGCCCCTCAGATTCCGGGAGCTGGGATGACCCAAGGTCAAGAGGTCTAGCCTCCTGCTTTTGAAATCATGCCCAGTGAGCCAATCAGCCTCCTCCTTAGAAATCTAATAGAAATTTCCACAGACTCTTTGGAAACCATTGGTTTCAGCTCCCAGCTGAAAACACATAGTTTCTATCTCCCAGCTGGGAAAGTTCCTCAGGAAACTTTCATGTTCCCATACCCTCTGTCCTGAGCCCCCCTCAGCCAGGCTGGCCTTGCCTCCCTGTCTCTGGATGATCCTGGCTGGTCAGGAAGTCCTTCCTCATAACCTCACTCAAATATCTCCCCAGGTGGACTTCGCTTTTGTGGTGTGGCAGAGCTTCCCGGAGCGGATGGTCGGCTTTCTGACGTGGAGCCACTTCTGGGATGAGACCCGGGGTGGCTGGGGCTACACTGCAGAGAAGGCCAATGAATTCTCCATGGTTCTCACCTCAGCTGTCTTCTACCATAGGTACAGATGGTAGCCCCAGCACTGGGCTCTAAGGGCCAGAGACTCCCTCTTTAAACAAGGAGCAGGGTGGCGTAGGAGTGAACACAGTAGTCAGCCTAGAGCCCAGAGATCCAGGTCAAAGCCACTTCCCAGCACTGTGATGGGCAAGCCTCCTCACCTCTCTTGAGTTTCAGTTTCCTCATCTGTAAAGTGTATTCATCTCACAGGGCTGTTGTGATCATCAAATAAGAAAAGTATATGAAGTCCTTGGCATACAGATAGTCAACAAACGGTAGCTAGTGTTGTTTTCAGTAGAGCCATGCTGAGGATATGGGTTTGGGGGGTGGGGGGGACCATATCCAGAGAATGGTCTTGACACTTTATAAATGTGTGTGATGGGCTAGGGCTTGCTCCAGGCCTTCCAGAAGCTGCCTGCAATGCCCCAGGAGCTGAATTCTGAAGGGCCTTCTTGAGAGGGGTTCCTTAAATGAGTTTAAATCAAATTTGTATAACCTGGAACCTCTTGTGGACTCACCCAGGAACTCTGCAGGAACTCTTGGTAGAGTGAAGAATACCCCTCGGGTCTGTAGGGTGGGCACTGGCTGCTCTGTAGGAGGACCTGCGTGATTCAAGGCTCACTTGCCAGAGCATCAGTCTGGTTAATCCACAGCTTTCCTGAAGCTGGTCTTTGGGCTGCCATGTTGGATGGCCTTGGAACCAGATGACCCTCTCCTCATTCTCTGTTTGAGTTCAGACCTCAGAGCTGAGAGGAGGGGGCCCCAGGGAGCCATGAGACAGGGGCAGGGAGTTCACCATTGGCTGCAGACAAGCCAAAGAACACAGAATAGTGGAGAGCAGTGCCTACTTGGGGTGGGAGCTCTCTGAGGCAGCCAGGGCTCAGCAAAGGAGCAGGGCTTTCACAAGAGGCTTAGGGATTGGGGTCCAAAGGAGAATGACGTCAGGAGGGAGAAAAATGAGGCCTGGGGCAGGGGTGGTGAACTCTGCTACAGCCTCTCCCTCTCCTCTCTCCTAACCCAGGTATTACCACACCCTCTTCACCCACTCCCTGCCCAGGGCTCTGAGGAGCCTGGCAGATGAGACACCCACCTGTGCGGATGTCCTGATGAACTTCCTAGTAGCAGCAGTCACCAAGGTGCCCCCTATCAAGGTGCCCTACGGGTCGCGGCATCAGGAGGCCAGACCTCCACTGGTGAGGACCTAGGGGGACTGGTCGGTACTGGGACAGCCCTGGTTGGGGAAAAGATTTCGTCACTGTCTAAGCCAAATCCTTTTTGCTGCATAGGGCGGGGGTGCGGTGGCGTTCTGAAGGACAGAGAAGCCCTTCAGCGCATTTCTCCTCCCATTCTTAGGCACCTGGGAGTCCGGGGCTCAGGCAGGAGCCGCAGCCGGCAGCCCAGGATTGCATCAACCAGATGGCGGCAGCGTTCGGCCACATGCCTCTGGTATCCTCTCACCTCCGTCTGGACCCAGTGCTCTACAAGGACCCGGTGTCCGTGCTGCGTAAGAAGTATCGCAGCCTGGAGAAGCCCTAGGAAGGACCAACTGAGACCCAACTTGGCTCCCCGGGGGGGCTGCACTGCCTAGAGGGGAGGGGAGGCTCAGCCCCGTAACTTGGATATCTGGAGACCCAGTCGAGGCTGCCAGTCAGCCAGCACGGCAGATCCCGATTGGCCAACCATAGCTCTAGCGCCCCTAGGGCCGAGGACTTGCCCCACCCTCTAGTCCAGCAGCAGGTCCCAGGTGAGCGTCCCCGGCTCTGCGGCTCTGCCTCTGCCTTCGCAGACCCCTTGCCTGGAATGCCTTTCTCGGCTTCTCTGCCGAGCTGACCTCTACTTGTCTTTCAGATCCCCGCCTTCTCCACGAACTTGCCTGGCCCCCACCCCCGCCCCAGATGCTCTAAGCCTTTCACAGCCGGGTATGTCCCGCAATCCCGACGCTATTCGTGCTGCTTTGCAAGGTACACACGCCATCAGGCCCCAAGACTGGCCGGAAGGTCGGGGCCGCGTCCTCTTCTCTCTAGCCTAGCAGGTGCGCCACAAATACTTGACGAACAGATAGATGGAAGAGACACCGACTACGTGCCGGGCTCTGTGCCGACAGGGGGCGAGAGCGTGAACAAGGTGTTCCGAGTGAGACAAAACTCCCCGAAGGCAGCTTCCTGCAGACACCTGGATTGCCAGGCGCAATCCTCGCGCCCCAGCAATGGAACAAAGAAGTGCCGGGGAGCCAGTTTCGGGGCTTCCCCTTTCGGACCGGGCGGAACAGAGTTGGGAGGCGAGAAGGCGGGATGGGAACGCTGGTGGCCCTGCCTAGCCCGGGACCCTCGATTGAGGCACTGCCGTCGTCCTGCATTACCAGCCTGGGGCACTAGAGGCCAGCACCGCGCTGCGCTTTCTCCGGTCCGATAGGGAATGGAGTTTTGAACGCCCATCGGGTCGGAGAGCAGACCAGGTGAGGGACCTGGAAGTTGGCGTGCAGCCCGAAGCCTGAAAACTTGGGCGTGAAGAGAAAGGAATCAGAAAATGACTTCACCCCTTCGGCCCCCAAACTTAGGACTATAGAGACATTTCTAGGTGGGCTAGGTGGGAGCAGGGGCAGTCCGAGCTCCCTGGTGGTGAGAGTGAGTGGGGGAAGGGATGCTAGGTTCTCCTGGGTTCATCCACCTGGAACTGGAATTATCACTTCCGAAATAAAGCTTGTGTCCTTGCCCTCTCACGCTCAGGCTATAAATACCTCTACAGCAGCTGCACGGGGGAGGGGGACTCAGGTCTCGCCTGGGAGCTGCGACGACTCTAGGGATAGGGATGGTGGGTCCAACCCAGGTCCAGGGCATCGGGTGTTTTTGTGCTTTGATAGTCTTGCAGCTTTGGAAATTCCCGTGACTACTGACTAGCTTGCTGGCCAGAACATGCTGCCCCCAAGGCCTCCTACCTCCATCCTCCAGCTTGACCTCTGGCCCCTGAGACTCAGGTCATCCCTGGAGCCAGTCACAGCTGAGGGTACAGAGAAGGCTCCCTTTTGGTAGCCCACCAGATTCTTGAGGTGGAGGGGGGTACTGGGAGTTAAAAGGGAGGGGAGACAGTCTGGCGCTGAGTCAAGGATAGTGGTGAGGAAGCACGCAGCTGCAGCCCAGGCAGCCTTCCCAGGGTGGGGAGGACTCCAAGTGCTAGGCCCAGCCAGGGGAAAGAGGCACCTTTCCCCTCCCCGCTCACAGCTGCAGCACCCAGAACACTGAACTGCCTTGGCATGGCCTTGCCTGTGGGCTGCCAGGCCCAAGGGCTCATACTGTACCAACACGCAGGCCAGAGCAGGTCCCCAGTCCCTGCTGTGGGGGAGACCTAGGGGAATGAGGCAGAAATCCCAGAGCTGCCTCTTACTGGCTATGTGACTGTGGGTAAGTGACTCAATCTCTCTGAGCCTCAGTTTTCTCATCTGTAAAAATGGAGGACAGCAATGACTGTCTCTTGAGAGGGCTGTAAGCCCTTGGCATACAGCAAAGCCCAGAATCCAGGCTCCGAGGGGCTGCCATGGCTTGATGGAGAGAAAAATTTGATTTGAGATAGGGGTGGAGTGGAGATCAGCCATCAGCAGTTTCCCACACACACTTCCAAGCCAACACAAACAACTTCCCACAGATTTCAAGGGGCTGAAGAACCCACAGACCTCAATTACAGACAACCCTAAATGACAGTGCTGGAGAGGCACAAAGAGGTCATTCATAGATGGGAAGAGAGGCTCAGAAGGGAAGGTGAGTGACAAAGCCCTCCTCCTCCACCTATGAGTCAGAACAGGGTCAAGACAAACCCAATGCTGCCCCTGGGGAGGCTAGGAAGCCCACCTGGCTCCTCAGCAAAGCAGCCTCAGACCATCTTTCCAGAATGATGATAAAAGTAACCAGTCTTCCAAGACCATCAGGTGCTCAGCGGACTTTGGCTTTGGTCCTCACAACAACCCTGTGAGGTAGGTGTCAACATTCTCATTCCGTAGACGCAAGAGGCTCTGACCTCCCTGAGGGCAGAGACAGACCACTTCATTAGGGCCACCTGATGACTGGGCATTGCTGCCTCCTCTGTGAGACTGGGGACAGGCCCCCCCCCCTTCATCTTGTAAACACCAGCCACCCCCTAATTCAGGAATCTTCACACACACCCCAGGAAGCTGGGGTCTCTGGTTCAGGTTGTACCCTCTGTGTTCTCTACCCCCAAGTTCTGAGCAGGCCAGGCTGTACCAGCAACAGAATGTCCTCGACCCCTCAGACACTATCAGGGCAAGAGAGGTGGCCAGGGCTGTGGGGCTGTTAGGGCAGGACCCAAGCTGAAACCTCTCCACCTCCAGCCCTCCCACTGGGGCACCTTTGTGTTAGCTCAGCTCCCTGGGCTGGAGAAATAAGGAAAGAGGAAACCAGCCAAGTTCTGACCTAGTCAGAAGCCCCCTCCCTCCAGGAAAAGGAAACATTTGGCACACAGCTGAAGTGACTAAGGCACAGGCCAGCCCAGGCAGACCCACATGAGTGTGCAGGGTCCTCACAACTCCTCGACACCTAAGGCCTCCTAAAACCATATTGTTAGAGGCAGAGGGAGGGGGCTCTGTTCCAAAACTTCTTTACAGATTCAAAAGGCAAAGGCCAGACAGACTGAAAATGAGAAATGAGGCAAGTAGGTGAGGAGACATTGAAGTCAGTATCCCGTCTGTCACCCCTCACTACGCCTCATTGCCTTTCCAGAGGCTGGTGGTAGGACAGCATTAATTGAGGATTAGGCCCAAACCCAGGCCTGCCAGGAGCCGACCTGTTTGCTGGAAGAGCAGGATGATGCTAGCTTTACACCTGCGGAGTTCCCATCCTGGGGCTGCTGTAGTCAGGTGGCAGAGGCAGGGAAACCGTCCAGTCCTGGAGTGGGACAAGGCTTCTCCACACTGAACATGGAGCAGCCATCAGGAGAGGCACCTGGTTTATAACACAGCGGTGGGAGGCAGAGTCCTGGCTGGGTCCGGAGAACACTCAGTCCAGCCATCTGCAGGCCTGTCCATGCCCCAGTTGGTGCGTGGCCAGGCCATCAGCCCGAGGGGCCCTGGCATGACTGGCAGTCCTTCATGTCCTCAGAGTAGTCCTCGATCTGGATGGTCATAGTGTGGAAGTGGAACTTCCCCTGCAGGAGGGCACTGGCTGCCTTCAGCACAGCCTGGGAGTCTGTGTTCTGAGCTGGAGGCCAAGAGCACCAGAGAACCGATTACTCACTCTTGGGCCCTTATGAATGATTAGGAGCCCAAGTCTCATATCCTGCCCCTGGCAGAACAAGATAGGGGACTCTGAACATCAAGAAACCCCCCAAGAGGGGGATACCAGGCAACTCTCTGATTCCCATACCTGGCATGATCCCAAAATAACAGGAAAAGCACTGGCTTAAGGCTAGGAATCTTTCTTCTGCCACTTATTAGCTGTAAAAGCCTGGGCAAATGACTTTACCATCCCCCCAACCTCAGTTTCTTCATCTATTAATGGGATTATGATGATCAAATGAAATAATGTATGGCAAGTACTCAGCAGGGCGTCAGGTCTAACACATGGGCGCTGCAAGCGTCTGAGGTCATCTGGACCCCTCTGGGATGGCCCCAGGCCTCTGGCTGCCTCTCTCTCTTATCCACCCTGAGTGTCCCCACCACTCACCGATGGCGATGTGGACAGACAGGACAGGCTGGGCCACGGTCAGCGCCCAGATATGCAGGCTGTGCAAACCTTCCACCCCATCCACCGACAGCAGCAGATCCCGCACAGCAATGAAGTCCATGCCCTTGGGGGTCCCTGAGGACAGCAGGGATGAGGGCTGAAGGAAACCACACCCTCCCGTCCACGCTGGTGCCTACTCCTCAAATGTCTTCTCCTCACTAGGACTCCTTGGCCAGCAGATAGGATGTTGTCCCCACCTCCCGAATGATCTCCATCATATCACCCTGTTGATTTTCCTCTTCACAGTTAACACCGTCTGAAATGATCTTATTTGTTAGTTTCTTGCTGTCTCTCCCTCTAAAATGGAAACTCTGTGAGAGCAGGACAGTTGTTTAGTTTACCACCCTATCTCAGTGCCTAGAACAGTGCTTGGCCCATAGCAGATGCTCGATTAAATTTTTTTGATTGTAAAGAAGGGAACCTGGGGATCCCTGCACCCATGTAGGACATCACTATCTCACTTTTACTTGTGTCAGTCAGATTCTTGGAGAAACAGTTCTGACCTATAGCCAAATACTCCTCCTGACCCAAACCAGGAACCAAACTGACCCTAACCAAATAGAGGCCTATGACCCAAGACCCTAGAGCACAAGAAAGCCTGATGAATAAGTGTGGTAACTCAGGGCAGGCCACTCGCCACCACTGAGCACCCCTCAAAGCCCAGGTATGTCCTCTGAGGCGGAAGCCTCAGAAAGGAAGAACATGGAGTGAATTCAGTAGTCTTGGCCCAACACCCACTATCGTTTTTCTGACCCTCAGTCTCCCTCCTCACCCCTGCCCACTGGGCAATAAGAAGCATAGTCCTTACCTGCCCCAAGGGACAGCAAATGGAGACTAAGGAAACATATGAAGAAGGGCCGGAGTGCCAGTTGCTGCAGACACCACCCAGAAGCCCCCTGAGTAGGTAGAGAGGACACATCCCAGCAGGGAGGGGCACCCTTGGGTTTAGGGTGAAGGAAAGGATGATCCAGAGGACATTTCCAGAAACAACCACACCTGAGGGCCCAGCTCAATGCCCGGATCAGCCCAGGGTCCCAGAAGATTCTGCAGCCTATGCCAGGCCCCAGACCATGGCCCCCCACCAATGTACTGGGACGCCCTTCCCCAACACACACACACACACAGACCTGAACTTAGAGCTAGACAGCCAAGAGCAAAATGGGAACCCCAAGCCCAGGTTACCTTCCATCAGCACCAGGATCACATCTCTCAGGATGGTTACGGTTGTTCCCAGGACGAGGATGGAGAAGAGGAAGGTGCAGATGGGGTCTATATACTTGTACTCTGGCTACAGGAAAATGGGAAGGCAGAGCTGGGGCTCACCACCCAACACCTCCACCTCTTTTCTCCCCTCCCACCCAGTATCAGTTGGGGAGAGGTGCTCTCTCGACAGGGTGGGCATGAGCCTCACCCTGGCCTTGCCTCCTAGTTCCCTACCTTTTATTCTGTGTCCAGAAGGACAGGCAGGACAGACCATAGTTCAGGACAAGGCACAATACCTTCCCACCCGTCCTGGCCCAAGGGGCTGAGACATGGACAGAGCTAAATGGAATCTTAGATTCCATCTGGTCCAACATGCCCATTTTATAGATGACGAAAACAGAGATTCAGTTAGAGGAAGGGACTCACTCTACAACACGCAGCTAGCAAGGGGTGGACCAGGCTTCATACCCAACACCTGGCTCTTTCTACTACACCACACTGCCTCTATGTGATGGGCAATGCACAGGCTTGGGCAGCACAGCCCTGGGTTTGAATCTGGCTCCACAATTTACTGGCTGTGTGACACTATGCAAGTCACTGAGCCTTTCTGAGCTATAGAAAACACTACCACTTCCCATTCAGGGCTGTTGTCAAGATAAGAAGTACTGACACTTGGTGGGTATGAATAAATGTTCCTTCCCTCTCCCCACCCTTGTGCCCACAGTTGGGAGGAAGCTAGAATCTGGAAAGGGTCCAGTGCAGAGAGGAGCCCTCACAAGATCTACACTTCCTTCTCCACCCAGCCCACCTCCGTCTGTCTCCAGCTCTGACCTTGAAGTATAAAATATAGGCTGCCACCAGAACACCCAAGCTCTGCAGAAAGTCTCCAATCACGTGGATAAAGGCAGCTCGGACACTGGGGTTCTCCTGCTGCTGGCTGCTGTCGTGGCTGTGCCCATGGCCATGACTGTGTCCATGGCCGGATTGGTGAAGAATCAACCCCATTCTACGGAAGTGGAGACAAGGCCATGGAGCTCATCGAGGTAGCAAGTAGAAGCCACCCATTAGGACAGGCCTCCCTGTGGGGTAAAAATTCCCCCCCCACCCCCAGACTGCATGATCCCTTTGGCCATGTGAGGAGCCCGACCCATATGGCCTCGGCCCAGAGCGCCACAGGAGAAAGGGCTCAGCTCCAGCCAATGCCAGGCTGACTCTGGGCACAAAGATGCCCCAGTGCCAAATCTTAGAGCAGGAGGGCACCATGGAGATCACCTACCCACTATGTCACAGACAGTGAAGCTGAGGCCTAGAGAGGGAAGTGGCTTGTCCAAGGCCACTGAGCAAGGGAGAGAGAATCCAAAGGAGACACACCCTGCCTCTCCCTGAGACCAATTTCAGGCACATCACCTTGAAAAAGGACTTGGCTTCTGCCCCTAGGGAACCTGCTCCTGCAAGAACTAGACTCAGCCCTCCCACTTCAGGTATGAAGCCTCTTTGGTTATTCACCGACATGCATGGGGTGGGGAGTTAATGCTACCCCAGATTTACAGCCCCCGTTGGCCTTGCCCTAGGCCCAAAGCAGGATCCAGGTGTTCCAGGTGCCAGAGCTCAGACCACTAGGGAAGTTCTGTTCCTGCATCCTGTACTGGACTGCAGCTCAGCCTCCTTCTACGAAGAGCAGGCAGGTAGGTATGTGTATGAGAGGTGGGAGGAGGGAGGATCCACAGAGAACCAAGGTTACACTCACATGATGTTTACAACCACAGCACAGCCCGATGTGATCAGCATGGTTCCCTCCTCGATCTCATAGTCCCCAGAGATAAGCCGTTCCACCGCCAGGTACACCAATACCCCAGTCACAACCCAGATGGACAGCACAGAGACCAGGGCGCCCAGGATTTCTGAGGAAGAACCCGACCCCCAATACCAATCTTAGCAGGGGGCCCTAAGGCTGAGGAGCCCTCCCCCTCCACACAAAGTCCAGGCCTGGGTCGGACTGGGCTCTGCTGGAGGTATGGCTGGTGTGATTGCACTGGGCCCCACCACTCATACATCTCATACATCTGAGAATGTCTAAGCTAGAAGAAACTCAAGAAATCATCTGGGTCAACCCTTTTATGTTGAAACTGACTCACTAAAAAATATGTATCTACTGCTCAGCTGGCAAACTGAGGAACAGAGGCTGGGCCATCTCCCGCCAAGCACAAAATGACAATGCAGCCTAGAGATGAACTTCTGTATCTTTCAGAAGGCTCTCTGACCTTTCCTGCCCATTCCCTCCCCTCCAGAGCTGATGCATGCAGTTACAAGCAGAGTTAATGCAACAGTCATTTATTCTTGAAGTCTAGCCATTTCTTAGGAAGGTTGACTCTCCTTCTCTGCAAGGTGGGAATTCCCAGAGAACAGGGGACCAGGGCTCTCCCATCAGACTGGGAGCTCCCAAAGAACAGAAGCCAAAGTTGACATCCTCTTTCCCCACCCAAGGCACCCTCCTGGCCTTACTCAGGGATCCACCCATTGCACCCACTTAAAAACCTATGTCTTGATCCACCCCCTCTCCCTACTCCATCTTCATCCCAATCAGGGCCCTCACCAGCTCGCTGCCAGCCGAAGTTCATGGTCTTGGTGGCTGGCCGGGAGGACATCCATAGAGAGAAGAGGCTGATGAGCATGCTGGCCAAGTCAGTGAGCAGGTGGGCTGCATCTGTCATGATTGCCAAGCTGTGTGCTAGGTAACCACCTGCAGAGGCAGGGCCAGGAGAATGGAAGGTTCTTATGAGCCCCCCAAGAAGCCAACTTCCCAGAGTGTTTGTGCAGCAGGGAAACCATGAGCTCTGGAGAAAGACAATGGACTCCAGAACTCTCCACCACTAGCTGTGTAACTACTGGCAAACGACTTACTTTCTCTGAGCCTCAACTTCTCCTATCTGTGAAACGGGATTAGCAAAATCTACTTAGAAGGTGAATGTGAAAATCAAGTTCAGATTGGGTCTGGAAAGCATAGTAGGTACTCAGGAAATGCTCTTTCCTTCTAGGCATTCAGGTCTTCCCTGACCTACTAGTTGTGTGTGATCTGGGGCAAGTTACTTCGCCTTACGGTGCCTCAGTTTCAACATCTGTAAAATAAGGAGAATAACAGCACCCATATTACAGCACAGGTTGTTGTGAGGATTGTGTGAGACAGTGTGCATAGAAAGGGTTTAGCATGGTGAGAGTTCAATAAATGGAGCTATTAGTATTAATACTCCTGTGAACATCCAGGAGAAAAGCCTTTTGGATCATCCACACTATCCATATGCCAATTTCATTGAATTAGCACAAAAGTCCTTACCAATTACTTCCCCAATCATGAACAGTAGGCAGAAGGCAGAGGCCACACAGAGCTGGCGCCAGGCTTGCTTCTTCTTGGGGTCACAATGACTGCTAGGACCCTTCTGGGCATGACAGTAATGGATGCTCTTGGTAGCCAGCTCAATGGGCTGCAAATCCATGCCAGGTGAGGACACAGGGACCCAGCCAGGCCCATCCTGCCACAGAGATCTGTAAGACCTGTCCAGAGAGGAAAGGTGATGGGAGATTCAGCTCTGAGATGGGAGCAAGGAGGGCTAAGTGCAGCCCTACCTCTCTGTGTGTCCTTGGGGTTCCCATGTGCCCATTTGGAAGAAGAGCTAAGGACACTTCAAGCCCAAAAGAGCCTGAGGAGTGACCAGAAGCCCCAGTCTGCAGGGGGTGCTGGGAATGACCAGTTCAGGAGTCTTGGCCCTGTGTTCTCCCTCCTCCCCGATCCCTCCCAGGGCCTTGAGAAGGCAAAGACCTTGGGAACTGGCCAAGAGGCGGGCCGGTCCAGCCAAGCGCGGAGAAGGAACAGAGCTTAGGCTCAGGAAGAAGAGCAGATTCCCGTTCTCAAGCACTTGGGGACACAGGGCCTCCCAGAGTAGGGTTGCTCAGGGGCAAAGTGCTGGCCCGGGGGCGGGGCTCCACTCCCCACTAACCAGTAAGGGTCAGAATCTGTGCTCAGACGCGAGGGACAGATGATCCCCCTACTCAAGCTCGGCTTCCCCTCTTCTTCACCTCACCCACCCCTCCTATGTGGTCCCAGTTCAAGCCACCGCCAAAACCACCCATTGCCAAAAAAGCAAACGGGGAGGTGCGTCTGATGCCACTCAAATTCCTGACCCTCCCCAAGCTCTCGCCTTACCGGGCTCCAGGCCTGGAGTCCAATAGATGCTGCTTCTCCATGGCCTCCATGCGGCCCTGCGCGCCTCGCCGCGTGCACCCTGGAAGTTGCGCGCCGGACGCTCCGCAGCACGCACTCACCTGCCGAGAGGGCCCTGCGCGCCACGCCCGCCGCCCCGCCGCGTGCGCCCCTCGCCTGCGGGCTTTACAGCTAATCCGCAGCCTGGGCCTTGCCGGGGCCGCCAAGGGGTTGTTCCAGTGCCGCTGCCGCTGCCGTCCCCACTACTCCCGCCGCTACGCCCCGCGCCGGTCGGCTTTATCCAGTCGCCGCTACCCCGTGTGAAGCGGCGCGTCGTGTGCAAAAGCCCGCAAGGTAGGGGGAGGGCGTAGCTGGCTGCAAAGGGCCCCGGCGCTGCCCGCCAGCACCCCGTCCCCTGCGCCCCTGGGGAGCCCACCTGGCCTGCAACGGAAAACCTAACCGCCTCTGCCCAGCGCTGCTGCTCCGTGTTTCTGAGTTAGGTCTGGGCTGCGCCCACCTTCCCCCGCGCGGGGCTGGCGGCATCCCACAGAGTTCTTAGACCTTGATTTGTAGAAATCTACTTTGGGTCCCCTGAGAGCAGGAATGTGGTTCCTAGATTCTGAATAAGGGCTCCTGCGGCTGGGGTTGTGTGTTCCCCTCAGGAAACCCCTGGTCTATTTCCAGTCTTAGGGTGCAGAGGTCCCCTGTGTTCTTCTGCTCAGGCTGGAAGGCTCCTGAGGGGCGGGGTATGCCTGCCCTCAAGCTGGGGCAGTCGCCTTCCTTAGGGCTGTTTGGGACTTACTGACCCATTCTCGCCACTGAAGCAGCGCCAGTTCCTCCCCTCTTGTGCTTTCTGATTAGAATTTGGGGTGGCCGGTTTTATCTCCAGCCCTATGTAAAGCAGTGGCCCGCTTCAGCTACAGTCGCCATCTGGGCAGAGCTGACACCATCTCCCCCTCGACCTCCTTTGTCCGCTGCCCGCAGCAGTTCACAAGAACCCCAATAAGGTGCCGTGAATGGTGTTCCGCTGGGAGAAGCCGGCAAGTCCTTGCTGGCTTGGTGCAGCACCCACTTGAAGCTTAATCCGCCCTCGTCGGTTGGGGGCCGGTGGGCAGGGGCCTGTGGCCCCAATACTGGCCTCTGATAGGTCCCCTCTATATAGAAAAAACTTTGGACTGGGGACCTCCCTGGTCAGTCATTCTGTCAGCAAGGGAGCTGGGGACCGTGGCATGGGTATGGCCCTTCACAGAGACAAGAGCCTAGGGTGCAAGTCTCTTGCCCACACAAGGAGGGGCTCCTTCAATCTCTTTCTGGTAGGAATCTTCTTGTTAGGAGACAAAGTGTAGCAAGTGAGGGTGGCAGCAGCATTCCTGCCTAGATGGGGTCCCCACTGAGTGCCTTTCCACCTTCTCTGGACTCTGAGCGTGGACAAGCTTTACTGCAGGCTTCCTGGCTTTCCTGTAGGCTTCCTGGCTTTCCTGTATAGTCTAAGAACCAACAGGCTCAGCATTACCTGGAAAGGGTGTTAAAATGCTGGTTCCAAGTTCCTGGATCAGACCAACTAAATCAGAATCTCTGTGTATAAAGCCTGGGAATCTGCATATTTATAAATTCCTAGGGGATTTTCTGCTCAGTAAGGTTTGAGGACCTGTGCATAAGCTCTTGAGATGTGTCTTCCCCACTAGACAATAAGCTTTTTGAGAGCTGGGATGTATTTTGTACTACTATATTGTAGTTTAACTCTGAGCACCTACTGGGCACTTAGTTAAATACCTGTGAATTGTATTGAAATAAAGAAGTAAGGGGGCAGAGAGTGGGAAGGGATAGACTAGGATTTCAAAATGGTAGAATAGATAAACAAGATTATACTATATGGCACAGGGAAATATATACAAGATCTTATGGTAGCTCACAGAGAAAAAAATGTGACAATGAATATATATATGTTCATGTATAACTGAAAAATTGTGCTCTACACTGGAATTTGACACAACATTGTAAAATGATTATAAATCAATTTTAAAAAGGTTAAAAAAAGAAATAAAGAAGTAGACAAATATAGGACTGATCACTTAATCAGATGAGAGTGAGATAGGTACAGTTTACAAGTTTCTTGCTGGGCTGTCTCATTTGGGTTGTAGTTTCAAACTGCTCTATACTCAGATAACTTATTTGAGGGCAAAATGTTTATGCTTTTAAGAAGTGTGTTTTTTATGCCCCTCTTGTTCGTTTTAATGCAAAGCACATTGCAGATTCTCAATATATGCAGATTTACAAATTGGATCCAGATACATATGTTCATTTTATTGAACAATTTTATACCAGATTTCCTTTAAACTAATACTTTCCCAGGTTGCATTTTAATTAATTTAAAAGAGTTTGACTTAGTCAAGTTAGTCAAGACTTCCATATACCGAAAAACTGGCAGCTACACTTGTATTCTCTACCTGGCTCCTTCAGTGATCGTCAGGAGGTCCTATGCGAATGACCTAGCAATTCTTGGACCTTAACATCACCTGAGGAATTTTATTCTAAAAATGTAGACTTCCCTATAAAGAAAAAAATGTTACCTACTATTCCAGTTCTACAAGGATCAAGCCTTTAGCTATTGCGGTCGCCCACCGACAGTGTACCCTGAGGGGAATTCAGGGTGGAGAAAAACGGGAAGTATTCTGTTCTTTGGCCCTTAATATACTGTGTATACTGACCCCTAGGTAGTTAGGATACACGTGTAATGCAATTTTTCAGTGATCCCAGATTCTTGCATCTTCCCATGCATAGAAAAGCACTCAAATCATTAACTCGAGATGTTTGTTCTTTGGGATTAGCAGACTACATGTTTTTCCCAGCAAAAAAAGTTTATATATATCCTGGATCCTCCCTCACCTCTTTGGAGCAGTTTCTCAGAGCCATCTAAGAGGCTGTCTTCCCAGCTATAGCCTTCAGTAAGGCTATAGTCCCTGAATAAAATTTAACTCACAACTTTCACGTTGTGCGTTTTATTTCTGTCAACACCTACGTTCCACAATAAAGTCTGATTCTGTAGGTCTGGGGAGGGGGTCTAGGAATCCATGCTTTTTAAACTTCTGTGTTTAATGGTATTATGAAATTTTTGTTCATTTTTTATGGTATGATGGTTATGATTTTGAAAAGAACCACCATCTAAAGTATGGAAGGATAAAAGGACATGCTATCTGAGATTTGCTTTAAAATAATCCCAGCGGGAGGGAAGGGGTAATGATAGAGAAGAAACAAGTGTGTCAGTGACTGTTGAAACTGAGTGATGAGTCTGCAGGGTATGTTATACTATTCCCTCTACTTTTACATATGTTTAAAATTTTCCAGAATTGAAGGTTTGAGGAAAAATAAACCTCTGGTGATTCTAATGCAGCAGCCTATAGGACTATACTTAAGATTCATGGAATAATTCCTTTGAAGCTGGTTTCCTTACAGCACGATCTTAAAGGAAACTTGTTGATCAAGAACCCTTCATACCACCCTTAAGTGTTTTGTCCTCAAATTCCTTCAGTCTTCTATAGGAGGATACTTTAGAACTATAAAGGAAAAAACGAATGTGCGATCATCAAAAAAGGCAGGATAGTGACCACGTCCAAGCAGAAGAGGGGCATGCAAAGGACTTCTAGGGGCTGATAATGTTCTTTTTCTTGACATGCTCAGTAGCAACACAGGATTTCACTATACATTTATTAAACTCTACAACTAGTTTTGTACACTTGTGTGTTTGTAATATGTTACACAATTTTTAAATTTTTTGATGCTTCAAAACTTATGAAAGGACTAGAAATGAAAGCAAAATCACATTCCCTGAAATTCAAAGTTAAATACTGAGTTAGCCATGGAAAAACTCCCAGAAGTGAAAATGGGCAGAGGTGTTAGGATTTAAGGCACTTTCGTAAAGTGAGTTCCACACAACTCTAATCCTGGAGGGTGTCACATGAATGAGTAAGCTGGGAAATGCTAAATTAAATATTCAGTCCACCCCCAAAATATTAAGAACCTTAAAAATCAGGCAGTACTCCAAACACCATGAACTTGGTGGAACGGTGATCTGTCTAAAGTTAAAACAGTTTCCTTTATGGCAGGACTGCTCAGAGCTCTTGAGTTGCTGCTGTGTTCTGAATGTCGAAAAGGTGGGACAGACTCTGCACTGTTCCTCAAATCTGAGGGGTCTCAGACCCAATTACCACGCTGCCCCAATGCGCTCAGCTGCACCTCTCTCCCAGCCCCTTGGCCCTTTGTTCTTGGAGAGACTGGATGCTACTCCAGCCGTGGTCATCACCTCTTCTCCTGGCACTGGGTGGCTGTCTGGCCTTCCCTGGAGTAAATCTGGGCTCCAATAGAGCCCCCATTGTGACCACTGCAGCAGCTCCAGCACCCCTGCCATGGTGTAAGCCCTGATAGGTTTTTTTTTCCCCTCTTTTGTAATATAAGTGCCAGACTTAAGCTTTGATTATCATCCATTTCAAAAGAGGCACCCACTTCAAGAAGGCCACCTCTAATAAACACCTTGCCAGCCACACTGCTAGATGAAGAGCCAGGCCGCCTCCGCTGCAGCTCCTTTGTTTTAGAGATGTCAGTTGATTTTACTAACTGATCATTTGAGCCGCCTGCTTTTTTTCTCTTTCAAACTTTAAATTCCCGCTCTAATGTTTTAAATTCACCAATAAAGAGTGAGCTTTCCAAACTCCAGGTCCCTACCCTTCACCATAATAAAAGCAGAAACTCAGACCTTTGCTCTCTCTCCCTCCCTACCTGCGACCTCACTGCATGGCCCTGGAGATGCCGTGTAATTTCCAGAGCTTGTAAGTAATTAACCTTTTTTTTTTTCAAAGTTTCCTGATGGTTATTGCCGAAGGATGTCTGGAAATCATAATAAGAACGACAAGGGCTGGTCTAATCATACCATTGGTTATTGATAAGCTGAGGCCAGCACAAAACACCCAACCCCACTGGACCGCAGAGGCTCAGCTCCTCCCACAACCTGCAGAGTCACTGACAGGTGCCTTCTTGCCTCCCCCGCAGCTGCCCAAGGGCTAAGAGATACAACCTGGAAGAGTGAGGGCCTTGATGCCCCCGGAGGCAAACTCTAATCCTGAGAGACAGGAGGTGAAAGGAACTAGCAGACAAGTCTCTCCCTTCCTCCCTCTGATGAATGGCTTGAGACTGGCTTATTCTTTGTGACCTGCTCGAAGCATCTCACAAGGCTCATCAAGCAGCTGGGTCTCTTGGTGAAGCTGTGGCCAGCTTGCTAGTTCGATGTTTTATATTTGCTTCCCTCCTTTGCTGCCTTGCTTCCACTTCCCTTCACACTGGCTGCCCTGAGAATGTACCTGAAGTAAAGCATTTACCCTTTGTCTCAGGCTCTCTTTTCTAAAGAACCAGAGACCAAGGCATTAAACCTGTTTCTGCAGGGTCCTCTCAGGGCCAGTTTTCGTTGGAGCTCTCATTGGGAAATGCCGGCTTAAAGGACAACTTCTTTGGTGGAATAGAAACCTAGTCTTGCCATCACTGTCAGCTTCCTGCCACACACTTCCTAACAGGCCTTCTGTCGGTCCACCCTGAACTCTCTGGGAAAAAAAGGTTGAATTGAAACCCCAGCCTGTTTGGTAATAACTGGAAGAAAGCGCTGTGCATTTATTAAAACAACATATAACACAAACTTGGTTACCATCCCTTATGTCAGAGAAAGGCATTGAATACAGTACATTATCCCTTCCTAGGCCTGTGAGTGCTACCCAGCCCTCCCACCCAGGAAAGGAAGTGGGCAGCTGTATCAACCTGGCTTCCTTCCCTTCTTTATAACAATCGCCAGTCACACAATGACCAGGCGTTATCATACAAAAGTTCCTTTACAAAAAGCACCAAATTGGCATACATATACAAGTATATACAAAAATCACATTTAAAAAACGTACAAAATATTCCATTTTGCACCAACGTAGAAAAGTATCCAGTGTGGTTGTTTCAAGCATGTTTCCAATTCTGGTTCACAACGCTGGACACAGCGGTGGGGTCCTACTCCTAGTTCCTGCTCTCTGAGCAGAGAAGACACACTTCCCCAAAGCCCCTCCAGGGGCCCCGATCCCTCCCACCCTGGGCCTGTCCCCAAGGCAGTTGAGCCCATCCCCCCCCTCCCCAGTCTCTCTGCAACTGGAGGGTCTCTCCTTCATCCAGCTCCTTATTGGTGCCCTGAAAGAAGACAAAGAAACCCCAGGTGAGACAGGGACTCAGGGTGATCCAGGGCTTACCAAGCTGCAGTGACAAAATTATCAAACTCCATTTCCTGCCTGGTCTCTTCCTTTTAAAATCAAAATCAAATAGAATTTAGCAGCCTAAACGCTATGGATTGCACATCCAATACAAAAATTTTCAGAAGGCTATTTTATATTTTTTTAGCTGGATTGAAATTTAGTTCCAACAGTAACTCGGCTTGAAAATAATAATATTAGCGAATACACTAATTAGCAATGATTATCTAATTTACTCTCCATCTAATCCATTGAGGCTAGTACTATTATGCCCCCTGAGCACAGATGAGTAGCTCCAGACTCAGAGAAGTTGTGAACTGCCCAAGATCACACCGCTAGTCCATGGGAAAACTGCAACTCAGAACCCAGGCCCTTAACTATATTCTGCCACTTTGGCAAACTCAGATGCCTACAGAGTCCTGCAGATGACATGAATGGGTCCATCAGGCAGGCAGCTAGTGGGGCTGGGCAAACTGGGAAGTGCATGTCCCATCCAAAGCAGGCAGCGCCAGCTCTCTG